TGTGTGTGTGTGTGTGTGTGTGTGTGTGTGTGTGTGTGTGTGTGTGTCCAGCTGTCTCTTCTTCCTCATCACCTCTACCAATGTTTCCTACACACACTCTTTTCAACAGTCCCATCTGACTTGCGGTGCCCCTGTCCCGTTTGGGGTTTTCAGACCACTGTGTCCACTCACCCTGCTCTTTGATCTGGCGGATCTGCCGCACCGTCTCTTTGAGGATGGCACATTTGTCGGGTTTGACGTTGAAGCTGTCGATGTCGCCGAGGTTGGCGGAGATCAGCTCCGCCAGCTCCTCGATGTATTTACTCTCCTGCTCCCGTCGCTTCCTCTCACACCTGCAGAGGGCAATGTGCAAAGATTTAAGGCTGAGCTGACGCTACTACAGCAACTAGAGTTCGGCTCGGCCGCTTATTTCTGTCCGAGACAAACCCGGGCCAGAGAGAGAAAGAACCGAGCCCGACCCAAACACAACAGGTATTCTGTTGTTTTAAATATGAAATATTATACAAAATGTGTCACTTCATTCTTACTACTGTACATTGTTTAGATGCATATGTTATTTTGCATAGTATGAGAGTTTTCCTTGCCATTTTTATATTGTATTCTATTTGAGTTTCAATCCTTGAATAAACTTGTGGTTTGGAGAGTCAGTTTGCGTTACTGTCATATCCTTACCTTCTTAGAGAGATACGACTTTAAACTCAATGAGACATAAAATTAGAGTCAAATGATGTAAAAAAAGGAATTAAAAAAAAAATAATTTAGTCCAAAAATACATTCATAATCTTCCACACATTTAGGTTCTTACTCATCGCAGCACACAAAGGAGCCACATGGCCCGGCCTCAAGAAGCCACTGACCCAGTAGCCCACTTTCTGGCATTTCCCCTCTCTTGTGCAGATCAGACACACTTACCCCAGACCAGGCGTGTCACAAGTGGAGAGCTTGCGTTTCCGGTTTTCTGAGCTCAGAGGCTCCATGGAGTTCTCCCCCAATCCGCTCATCGTGTACACATATCAGCACCTGGGAGGACGGAGCACAACCGCACGTACACAGGTGTAAATAAGGCTTTAATACAGGCAGAGGAGGGATTATATAGTCCCTTTTAGCCCTTTAGCTCTTATTATACACGTAATTGTGAAGGGAAGAAGACATGGGAATCATCCTTTTCAACTCAGCAAAAATAACCGATACAGAGGCAGCTTGTAAAGTGGATACAGTGCAAAACAGAACACAGCAGAGTAAAATATGCTTATATCATGCAAATCGTATTCTCCTGGCAGAGACTGACGAACATAAACATGTCTCGTCTGCCTCCCCCTCCTCCTCCTCCTCCTCCTCCTCCTCCTCCTCAGAAAAAAAAAAGGGAGTAAGCATGTGAGGTTGTGTTTGTTTGTGTGTGTGGGCCTGTGCATGTATGAGTTCATCAGCTCATATGGTGCATCCACACACACACACACACACACACACACACACACACACACACAGGATTAACAGTGTCTCTGATGATAAGCCACACTGCACAACTAACCCCGTTAGACAGCCGTCTGTCTCCCATAATGCATCGCATTTCGTCTCCAGGAAGTGATCTGATAAAGGTTGTAGGGAAGAGAGGCAGATGGGATAAAAGGAGGAGGAGGAGGAGGAGGAGGAGGAGGAGAGAAGGGAAGGAACGGAAGAAATAAGGGAGGGAGGACGAAGCTGGTGCTGTGAAGTGAGCTCTGATTGGTCACTTTCTTTTCCACAGTGACAGCAGCTGACACTGGGGAAAGGTAGGTGGGAGGGAAAAGAGGATGGAGGAAGGGAGGCTAGAGAGGAAAGTAAATGAAGGGGAGAGAGAGAGAGAACAAATAGTGGGAGACAGAGGATATACACAGTAAATGCAGAGGAAGAAAGAAATTGGGGGGG